CTTTACTGGATTTGGTTATTAAGTCTAGAAGACTTTTGGTGGAGTTCTTGGGGTCTTCTATATAGAGTATCATGTCATCTGCAAATAATGACAGTTTGACCTCATTTCCTATCTTTATTCCTTTTATTTCTTTCTCTTGTCTAATTGCTGTGGCTGTTTCCAAAACTGTATTGAGCAGGAGTGGTGATATTGGACATCCTTGTCTTGTTCCTGATTTTAGTGTGAAGGATTTCAATTTTTGACCATTTCGTATGATACTGACTGTTGTTTTTTCATAGATGGCTTTTATCAGATTGAGGTAGAGACTGTCTATTCTGATTTTTCGTAGAGTTTTTATCAAACAGTATCTTCTAAAAACATTGATGTTTTTAAACTAGAGGATGTGTTTTTTATGTGGAAAATCTGATAGTTATTAATGTCCTGTGACTTTTTATCTTGGATTGCCTCATCTGTTGTTATACAGCCTGGTCCTTTTGTGTTTTTTTCCATCCTTGCTGACTAACTGCTCTCACCATGGAATAAGTCTCAGTTATCTATCTTTTGAGTTTGTACCTTTTTATATTTTATAAAGTGTTTTACTTGAAATTGAAATTTGTGGCTCTGTGTGTGTGTGTGTGTGTGTGTGTGTGTGAATAAATATGTTTCTCCTTAGTGCTTAGCACAGTTTGTGAGTGCAGAAGTGAGGAATGATTGTTGGCTCTTTAAAATAAAACTTCAACTGTTTTGTTTTAAAAAAACAATAAAGAATATTTAAAAAGTATGATACAGTACTTTGTAAATTTTTCTTATCCTATCTATTGTCTAAAATTATAATTCTGCTTTGTTAACTTTTTATATTGATATGTGTCCATATTTGATGATATTCCTGCTTTCCTCTTAGTTGTCTTATCTCTAAGTCTTAAAGCGCACTGCCATGAGCAGTTGGTATTTGACCACCTGGTAAATGCCGGCATCCATTACTTATTAACTGACTGTACACATGCAATGTTTGGGTAAAGCAAAGGTATTTGAAAAGACTGTCAGTGGGCTGCACATAATCATAAAATGTCACCAAAAAATTCTTAACGGGTTTTTAGTAATTTTGAGTTTAAAATACTGATTTTCTTCACCAAAGATTGATGTTATTATAAAAAGCAGTAGTAGATAAAAGTAGTTTTAAAAGAAATGAAGGAGAAAAGCTTCGATAATGGAATTCAGTGAACTAAATGTAAATGCTGTATTAATTATGAGTATTTTGTGTTTCATGTGTAGCCAGCATAGCAGAGGACAGATTTGTTTGTAGAGGGTGTGAGCCATTGCTCTATAGGGTGTTTCAGCAGCTGTGCAAATATTTTGTTTTACTTTTGCTATAAAGAAAAATATATAGGATTATAATAAACTTTTCTACAAATATGTGCAATAATTTTATATAAGTAAAATATTGATTTAATGAATTAAAGCTTATCATAGTTCATCAGAAGTACAAATAAAAGTTTTAAAAGTATACATAAAAAGGGAAATAAATATATGGCTTTTTGACTCATACTAAGTTTTGGTTTTTTTCTCCTCATCTTAGGGACCAGGTGCTCCACGGATTTTGCTGAGGTTCCATCTATTCTCATGGAGTACTTCTCAAATGATTATCGAGTGGTTAACCAATTTGCCAGACATTATGAGAGTGGACAGGTAGTAGCTACTGATACAGGTTGAGCATCCCTAATCCAAAAGTTCAAACTCCAAATTATGCCAAAATGCAAAACTTCTGCTGAGGGCTGATAGGATGTTACAAGTGGAAATGTCACACCCGGCCTCATGGGATAGGTCTCGGTGAAAATGCAGGTGCACTAAAAATGCCATATAAAAATACCCACAGACCGTGTACATGAAGCAGAGTGTCTATGAAACATAACTCAATTTTAGGTTCAGACTTCAGGCCCATCCTCTGGACACTTCATCAATATGCAGATATCAACAAATCTGACAAAATTCAAAATCTGAAACATTTCTGGTTCCATGCATTTGGAAAAGGGATACTCAGCTTATACTGTTGCATTTTCCTTTGGGTTGTGATGATTGGGTTTTATGACTTGTTGGATAATGTCGAATACTTGGTGCTTTTTCAGAATTCCTGTCACCCCCTTGCAGAACCAGATTCCTTTTATTGTTCGTCCTCCCCTGATTCCTGATGTTTTTCCCTCCTAGATTATAGAATCCTAGTCTTAGCACATGCACATATATAAGAAATGAGCTGCCCTTTGTGATTTGCCAAGTAATCTGCCACTTACTCTTCATTGCCATCCCAGGAGGAAAGCATGGAGCAGGTGTCCATGCTGTTCTTACTCGAAGGAGCATTTGCTTCTGCATGTTTGTTCTCTTGGCCTGAACTTCCATCCTGTGCCTATTTCCCCACCACTGTTAGCATCTGTAGCAGCTATATGAGGTTAAATCTGAAAATGCCCTAATTTTGAGGCTTTAATTTCAATGACAGATTATAATTTTAAAGATTTTTAAATTAAAATGAAAGATATTTTAAGTTAGCCATACCTATAGCTGTCAATAGTGGACAGTTTCCTATCCATGTGTGCACTGGAAAGTATATTCTTTCCCGTCTCTCCAAACTTTGACTATATAGTATTACATTAGGGAGTCTTTTTGCCCCCTTATATTGGACCCACTTGTTTTAAGTGTGACTTATATTCGTCTTTTGGTATCTAGGCCCTACACTCTTGCCTACTGCAGAAAACAAGCTAAAATCCAAAATTAAATGAAGGCAGGAGCTGCGTTAGAAAAAAGAGGACTCAAACCACTTTTATCTGTAACTCTTTCTGATTATGTCTCCAGATGATCTGGTCATTTTATTTTATTTTTTTCCAGTACCAGGAATTGAACTCAGGACCTTGTGCTTGCCAGGCAGGTGCAACACCACTGAGTTACATCCCCAGTCCAGTCATTTTGTTTTATGGATTTGTTACTGTCAATTGTAGAATGTTGGATATGTTTCTAGGTAACTAATCCCAGTAAGTTTTCATTGTAATCAATTTCAGTTATTAAGATGACAAAATTTTTAAAATGTTTGACTTAATTGACTACTTGTCCATCAACCTGCAAAAAATTGCCGTAAGGATTACGAAGGCATGGCCAGTAGCATAGAATTGTATATCCTACCAAAAAATGGCACCACTCATCTGTAGCTACATACTCATGGGGTTCAGAAGTGAGTAGAAAACAGGCATCAGGCCTGTTGGAGTATGGCTGGTGCACCGTGCGCAGGACCATGGAAGAGCCCAGCCCAGGCTGCCTGGGCCCTGGGAGAGGATGGTCAGGGGGTGCTGGGAAAAATGGGGACCTGGAAAAGTATATTAAAAGGGGAGCTCTTGGCAGCCCTTATCCATTTCATTAAAGAATATTTATTGAGGACAGTACTAAGGACAAAGAGGCACTCAGTCAGGGTACTTGTTCAGTTTTTGTTGTGGTCTAGTCACTGTTCTCTGTATCTCAGAAAGAAGTCAGTGTGATGGTTCAGATCTAAAATGTTACCCAGACGTCTGGTGTTTGGAGGCAAGGCCTGGCTGGAGGAGTGCTGTCACGGGGGCCATGACCTGGAAGGGCATGTTCTTGTCCCCATCTCCACCCTTTACCCTCTGCTTCTGGCTACCATGACGTGAGCAGCTTTCCTCTGCCAGGCCCTCCCACCATGCTGGTTCTGCCTTGGAGCCAGCTGATCGTGGACTAAACCCTCTGAAAACTGTGAGCCAAAATAAACCTCTCCTCCTGTAGATTGTGGGTGTCAGTTATTTGTCCTAGCAGCTGGTAAGGTGACTAATATAGTCAGACAAGATCCCAGGGCTCACACCTTTCATTGCTAGGGAAACTGAGACAGAGTCAAAGCTAGACATCTCTACCAGAAAGAGAATCCCCTGAAGGCCTGGAGAAGTCCTCAGGAGGCCTTGTGTGGGCCTGGTGGGAGTAGCCAGTGTGACTAGAGGAGATAGGGGAGGGAGAGAAGCAGCTGGAAAAAGGGCCTGGGGAAGGGCAGGATCAGGTGGTGAGAGGCTGTGGATTGTAAACAGAAATTTGCACTGTGGAGGGAGTCATTAAAGGGTTTGAAGCAGGGCATCAAACCTTTATTTTTGGAAATGACTTTGGTGTCTGGAAAGAATACGGAATGGAAAGTGATATGCTTGGAGTCAGAGATGTGTTTTTGGTGTCAATGAGTGGTGCAACACCATGGTAAGTGGTGGATAAGTGGTTAGGATAAGTGGAGGGCAAGACCACCCTCTGACAGACACACCCCTCCCCCAGGATGCAGTGCTAGTCTCAGACAGCTCCAGACAAGAGCTGCCTGACCCCTGCCCTACCCTGAACCTGTCTCGGATGGTACACTTCTGTATGCCTCTCCCCAACACTTTAACCCCAGCCCCAGCTCATGTTGCAGCACTGAGTGAGTTCCTCAATGTGGTCCCTTAGGCCCAGCTCCATTGTCTCACTTCCTCTTGGGCCTGTTGCTCTGGCCTACGGCCTCACCCATTTCTCCTCATCCCTCGGAATCCCAGGATGCTAGCAGGGCCTTGTTTGGCCCTCAGCATGGCTCTAGGGAAGGCTCACAGACATGCATGAAGGAGGTAGGAGACTGGCCAAAGGACTTGAGGCCACTGGGATAGCAGAGTGAGTCAAAGGTGGAGACTGCACATCAGAACTCTTTGGACAAGGGTCAAGTTTGAGAGTCACTGGCTGAGTTCTTGTTTAGGGTATATTAGTGAATGTCACTGTGGTCCAAGAGGCTGTTAGTGACAAATCTGAAATCAAGGAGTCAAATAGACAGACACTGCACGTAGGTGGGAATACATGATTAAGTATGGGGAGTTCAGAAATTATCCTTGAAAGAAAAGCAGGAGACGTCTAAAGAAGCCAGTGAACACAGGGAAGAGGAGGACACACATTATTTCAAAACAACCATTTTTTTTTTAAAAAAAGTGAAATCTTGGCCCGAAATGCACTGATACTAGTGCCAGTTTTAAAACATCCCCAGCTCCTCATAGAGCAAGCAGAGGAGTGGAGGACTCGAGCCATGGCCTGTGGAGAGATGTTAACAGGAGAGAGCTCCTCACTGCCTTTGTGCTTGGTGAGTTCTTCAGTAAACACAGCTACTTTTAGACCAGATAACTGAAAAATAAATAAGCCACATATACATCCCAAGATAGAAGAGATGGGGAAAGAGCTTGAGCTGCTTTAAATTTATTCAGCTTTCAGACTCAAAAGTCATGTCCAGTGCCCTTAAGGGACTTGCAGACACAATCTCTAAAGAATTTAAAATAATTTTGTGATTTCATGGAGAAGAGAAAGCTAGCCCAAAGGCAAGAGAGCTTTAAGCTTCACAAAGGGCTCCCTCTTCTTGTCACTAATTAAGATACCAACTGGTTTGCTTTGTTAAGGGCAGTCCTAGCCTTAAGGATAAGGAGTTTATTCCCTAAAATCCAAGTCTTTGTGAGTTCATGATGTTTAAGCCCATCAGGGTTGCATATTTCTGCTTAATTCCCTATTCTGTTGCATTTTAGGAAAGGATTTTTTTTTTAATATTGTGAAGTATATTCCAGAGAGCATGGAGAGTGTACGATAATCTTTCAGTGATTTAGTAACACATACCAGTACTTGATCTACAGCATAGTGTAGCCAGTGGATTTCGTGTGGTAGAAGAATTAGAAGTATGCTTATCAGATTTGCAGGTACTGCGCAGATAACCCGTACAGATAACAAATGCCAGAGGCACTCATTTGAAATTCAGAACTGTCTCAACAAACTACATCAAAGCTGAAGTCTGATTTATTGCATCATTAGAGCTGAAGTAAAATTTTTTATAAATTGATCTTAAAATCACTAGCCTGACTGTAGAAGGGGTACACACTCTGTAGCAGTTTTTTAGACATCATGAATTTAACCCAGATGGGCAGTCTGGTGGTGTTTCTCCACAGGTCTTGTCTTATCTAAGGCTGTTTTAGAGGACTTGTGGTGTCTAAGGCCCTACAAAGGCCATTGTCTCTTTCCTTAGTGCTGATTGGTTCCAACCTATAGCACTTTCCAAATGAGCAAAGAATTGTCTGTAGGCATCCCACATTTTTGAATGATGATCCTTGCCCTTCCTAAACCTGTTTAGCCACTTACCAGTCTAATTACTGAAGTACAGGATGACAAAAAATTGCATTTGTATTTTTTCATTAATTTTTATAAGATTATATAACAGGAAATATAAAAATGGCAATTTAATCAAATTTATTCAGTACAAGAATCCACTGGTTGAAATGAGACCCGCCCAAGTGAAGCTTGGGAAGGTCAGTATGTAAACAAACAGGCTGCAATGACAGCATGACGCTTGGGGTGAACTGTTAAGTGATTAATTAAGTGATTAATGTGCAGTTGTTGTTTTTTTTTCCTGAAATTGGGATCTCCTATCAGTTACCTATTTCTATGTAATGGCCTAGTGTTCCTCCACCCCTAATCTTGTCATAAAATCACAGGTGCTCTTTGTGTACCTGAGCACGAGGAGACAGGGTCATTTTAGCCCTGTACTCAACACTGAAAATGCTAAGCAGCTCCATTATGCAGCCTAGAAGCCTGGCCCTTGACCCCGTCCCTGACCCTTATCCCCTGGTCATGTGGGTGCCCTGAGTTCTCTTCTGCATTCTCTCACT